GTGGTTTTGTCACTGACTGGGAGCTGCTGTTACATGATATTAGAGAAATAAAGACTGAAGATTTTTAGCCAGACTGCAGTACAAAATTAATAGCCTAATGAAGAAAGCAATGTGACCTTCTGGAAGGCAAATGCAGCAAGTTTACAATGTCATGTTCAGGGATATATCACATGCACAAGCTGTGGCTGTGCAGGAGGAGACTGGACACACTGCCCTTTTCTCACATATTTTCAGATTCTCTGACCTGCAAAGAGTTTGCTTCTTCCATCAATGACAAGTATTTTTAAAGGGATATCAGTCAGGGGAAGATTTACAAAGGAGAGAGGAAAGCAAACCATCCTATTACAGCATCTCTTCCCAGGTGGGCACTGATTGAAATCCTCAGCAAACCATTCCCAGCATGAGGGGTCAAACACAGTCATAGTTGTAAGGGATTGAGAAATAATAGCTCCTGGCATAAGGACAGCATCAAAATTAGATTTTATTGGTTTGCTTCACACCCTTGGGGATCATCTCCTGAAATCAGAATGCTGGAGCACCACTCTGCAGTTGCAGTAGATTGTCTTCATCAGAGCTTGGTGAAGCAGATCCCTCCAGTTGAGGGTTGGCCCCTTGAGGTTCAACAGTGCTGTGAGGCATCACTTGCTGTGCTCCTCTGCAAGAATCTGGGTTTTCCTTTGCAATGTCTCAGCTTAAAATATACTTGTTACAGCTTGTACAGCTAATCAACTCAAGGGTGAGTGGATCTCTGTGGATCATGGATATCCATCCATGTATGGGTAGATTGCACTCCTCAAAATTCTTTAATCTGCTTCTGCTGTTGACAGAGTATGATGTACTCTGTGCTGTACATCCACACAGAGAACTAGTAATGCTGGTTAATGCCCTGCACTGCTGCACTTTGTTATTTTGCTGCCAAGTTCTCCATGTAGAAAAGCCTTCAGATATAGTGGTACAGTAAAGATAAATTGCAATTCTTGAATTTTACTGTTTATTTTTTTGTCTTGATGTTGTTTCCTTAACAGCACTTCAGCTCCCATCCTTTGTTTTGTTTGACACGTTTAAACTGAGAGAGTCTCTGTGTGATTCTTGTCTTATTTATTCAGGTGGGTTATTCCAGTGCAATTTTGATGATGGTGATATAGATATAATGGAATATTTAGGACAGATTATATGACTTAAATCTTTAAAATGCCACTTTTATGCTGGGTCCCACTCAATAACTCACAAAATTGTAATCTTCTGCAATTCTGCCTTTGTAAAAACATGCATAATTTTGACAAAAATAGTTCTGGTTGTAATTAAGGATGCTGATAGTTGTTTTTGTTTTTAATTTCCTAGCCTTCAGAATCCTTAATAAACTTTCACGGTCAAAATCCAGATGGTACTGCAGAGCTTGGGCTTGTTTTTGAGAATTTTTTTCTGTTTGTGCTGATTATAACTCTCCCCTGATAAAAGTGTAAAATTGTTTGAATTTTTGGCCTTTGGCTGTTTGGAAAGCTGCTGTCAGCTCCCAGCACAAGCCAGTTCAGATTCAGTGCACATTCCCAGCTTGGTGGTAGGGGAAGTACAACAGTGAGAGACCAGTTTGCCATTGCCCAAAAATTTAAAACCCAATGGCCCTTACTGTAGCTGCTGAGATTGTTTCCTTTTTTAATAGGCAATTCACCTTCCCTCTTTTTTTTTCCCCACTTATGTTGCTCTCCTATTCCAAGGAGTCATTGATTTACAAACTTTGAGGAACATTGTCCTGTGGAGATAGGGAATAACAAGGGAAGGTTTTTAATCCCTCAGATAATTAAGCACTAAAACAAATGATTAAAAAATTATGAGGCGAAACACTCTGTTAATTTTAATATAAAAATAATGTACTTCTCCCTGTGGAACACAAGGGAGGGAGCTGCAATCAAAAGAAGGGGAATAAAAAATTGAATACCCTGAGTTTTTTTTCTTCTCTCTAAGTTGTTTCCTTGATGCCTCAGTGTGTTTAATGGTGCTTTGCCATGATGTTGGGAGGGGTACAAAATGAGTGTGGAATTGATAAATGGGACATTAGATGGAGGAAGGATGCTATGGGCTGGGTGATCTGAGCACTACAACTGAAGAACAGATCTCGCCTCAGGGCTGGATAGGAGAGATGCAGCCCTGCAACTCTAAGTGCTAGCAAAGCCATTTAGAGTTGGTAGAAATCTTTGTTGGGGGATTATCTAGAAAAAGGTCTTTAAAACCTTCATTTGCTCTCAATGAGCATCAAGAGAAAGAGTGGGAGCTGAATGCTGAAAGGACTAAGGCTGAAATGAAGGGTGTTGGTGCATGCAAAGAAGCTCTGCTGGTTACTCTATTAAAAATGAGCAGGGTGTGACTTGGGTGCAACTTCCCCAAATTCAAACAAGATCTAGGATGAATTTTCCACCTCTAGGGATCATGGGACTTCAGCTTTCCACTGCTGTTCAGTTTACATTCTCATGTGATGATGTATGTTGGAGCCATTTTCCTGATTCTTCAGGTAGAATTTATTTCCAGTTCCAGGTGGATTTTAAGAGTTGACATTAATTAAGCTTTTAAAAGTAAGGTTTTATTTTAATCGTTTATTGGAAGAGGAATCTCACTTTTCCAAGATAGACTTCTGAAGCTGTGAAACTCTTCTCTGCAATCCTTTCTTCCTCTTTCACTCTGAGATTGGTTCCTTCTGAATGGTGCCCACCCTTATCTAGAGCTGGTTAGTTGTTGTTTTTCTGGTGATTTGGAGGAGACTTGTTTGTTCAGAAACCTGTTGGTTTTGCTTTTCGACATAAGGAATTCTTTCCTCCTTTTTTCCACTTCATTGTTTTGCATCATGTTAGTGGCTGGAGGGAGACTTTAACCAAGATCACAGCCTTGTGATTTTAGGTGATGCTCTTAAGATAAGTCTCTTACATTTGCAGCCTACACAGAGAGAGAGGGTAAGGGGGGGAAAAAATAATATGTTTAGTTTTTTTGACATAGAACAGCAGTGCAGGAAAAATTACTTATCTGAGATCATACAAAGTCTATGGCCCTGAGTGCTCCTGCATTAACCTCTTGGTTGTGGAGGTGCCTTGACTGATGTGCTGGTAGTGGGCAACTGTCTCACAAAGGGGAATTTTCCTTCCAGATTATACAGCCCATAGGTAAATAAAATGATTGTTGCTATGAGAGGCATTTTCCAGATCATTTTTTGTAAACACCTGCAGTCTGAAATGAGAGGGTTTTAGGAGCTAACAATACCTTCCCATAGGATTTGAAGATAATGAGCCTCTTCTATCCTGCTTTAGGATTTGCAAAGAATTGCAATGCATTAATGGTAGATTAATGGTTAGGAGTAACTACCATCAGTTTCAGCCACCGCAGTACTCATGGAGCAAAAGAATATTTAGGTCAGATGCCAAACAAAAAAATAAAGACTAAGAAAGCATTTGTGAACTAGAGCTTGAGAAACTGGGTTGTCTTTGAATGCCATCTGTGGTAAGCCTTTGTCACTTCTCTGAATCAGGGGAAGGATTTGAATTTGCTGTGGGGGAAAAGAAAAGCAATTTATTTCACAATTAGAGTGGAAGACATAAGCACGAAGGTCAGATGTTCAAACAGGAAAGGTGATACTGTGTTTGCATCTGTATTTTTTAACAGTGTGTGTCTTTGCTCTTTGGGACTGACAGTTCCTAGAAAGGATGCAGAGCTTATTCTTGAGCATGATATCCTGCCTCAGGTAATTGCTCGATGGCACACTTAAAATAGATCTCTTACAGTACGGGATGCTCAGTGTCATTGAAAATGTTCTCTCAGTGTGCAGTGATGTACAGCCTACAGATAATGCAGTTGTACTAAGGAACAACGTAGGGTTAGGCAACAACAATGGCATCAATCCTGATAGTTAGTTACAGAAAAACCCTCTTTTCATAATGTGGAATAGAAAGGACTATAAACTGGATGCAAATAAAGCTCCTTTTGAAATCCTCTAGTCCCAGAGTGCTGTAAAGTAGCTGTTGTGTAAATGGTTATTCTGCTAACAATTTTTAAAGTGAAATTCAGTCTCATGCAGGAAATCACTTAAAGTCCACGTATTGCTTCAGAGTGCTGGAAAGAAGGTTGAAGCAAACTTTAAGTGGTTCATTCACAGCATTTGATGTAAAATCATTGCATTGGTTTCCTGTACAGGTGGAGCTTGCTGTAATGATCAAATGGTTTTAAATGTGCCTGTGCAGTGATCTGGTGGTGCAGATGCTGACTGGGTAATTCTGTTCTCTGACAATAAATGTATATTGCAAGTGGAGATGTGACCTTTGGCATGTGGAAAGCTACACAAGCTACTTCTTTTAATCTAGCTGTCATGTAGAACGTGTCATAAACCATTGTTTTCCAAGCTGACTAGATAAATCATCATCTACCTAGGCTACTTCTGCATGGATTGATGATGCTTGCTATTGCCACTAATGCCAACTGCAGCACTGTCAAGGCCCTCAGTAAAGTCAGCGAGGTTATATCACAGTATGACTTGAAGATCTGATCTTTTCCACTCTCCTTTCCTTTCAACAGTGACTGAGAGTCGAGGGATCCTGGAGAGTATACAGAGGTTTTCTTTACTGCCAACTTACTTGCCTGTGACCTATCGTATCCACAATGCGGATGTTTCCTTCTTTCTTAAGGAAGCCAACCAGGATATTATGAGGAACTCTAGCTTGCAGTCCCGAGTGGAATCCTTTCTGATCTACAAATCCAAGAGTCCACCTGTGTTAAATGCCAGCTATGGACCTTTTTCTGTTGAACAAGTAGTACCCCAGGACTTAATGTTGTCTTCAAATCCATTTGGATCTACTAACAAGTTCTCCTTTAATTGGAAACTTAAGGCCTTCATAATGAGCAACAAAATTTACCTGAGCAAGCCCAAAGTGCAGGTGCTGTTCTACATCGTGGGCAGGGACTGGGATGACTATAGCAGCACGGAGCGGCTGCCCTGCCTGCGCGTGTTCGCCTTCCGAGAGACGCGGGGAGTCAGAGGCAGCCGCAGGCTTCAGGGCTGTGTGTGGCAGAGCTGGAGCTCCTGCCAAGCTGGTTTAACCCTCCCACGGTTGTTGCTGGCCGTAAGAAACAAATGGATCAGTCTGAAGGGAGCCCCGTGGAGCTTTACTATTCCATACAACCAGGAGATGAGAAAGGGGAATGCACCAAGGAGGATGTGAGGAAAAGTAATGGGATCCGATCAGGGCGCAATGACATTGATGAGTCAGGACCTCCCTTGCAGAGGATTGGAAGTGTTTTCCTTTACCAGACACATGCTGCCCCTTCTTTAAGTGAAATGAGATTGGATAATAATATTGTCATCCAGTATGCACCAAAGACTGTCAAGCAAGGTGACATTTTGACTTTCCTTGTATCTGTTGCTAAAAACTCAACAGAAGATCAGTTCACATTGAGGTAAGGCTGTTTTGTCTTTCTTTGGTACCTTATTCTTTGTTTCTCTGCTCTTGGCATAGGAAGTCACTTTCTCATGTATAAATTGCCTAACAATCCGTCAACTGCAGCTCTCCAGAAATTGTATTGCAGTTGGTTGACTCAACCTTTCTCATATTGCTCAGCCTAATATTGGATGAATTGTCTGTCACGTGCTCTCTTGGAGTGAGAAAGGCCTTTTCCTGAAGATGTTCTTCAAGGAATACTTAGAAAATTGAAATGGTAGAACTGGGACATATCTATGTACTAATAGGAGATAACATTTAAAGTCTCCAGAGCTGCAGTTTGCAGTTTTCCAAATCTCTCATTGAATTCATGCTAAGATTAGCAAAGCTTAAATCCACAAAGGTATTTATGGGAAGTGAGCAAGAATTAGGCATCTAAGTAGGATTCATATGCTTAAACATCTCTCCCCAACTTGTTGTAAGCCTGGTTCTGTTTTCTAGGATGTTTGAGGTTCCTAAGTATTATTGATATACCTAAACCACTTCTGAAAATGAAAATCCCTGAGGGGGTGGTGGTGGGTTTGGAGTGTAATGTCAAAGGTTGTGTTGATTTGCCTAATTCTCTCCAAGTGTTGGAATATTACCATGGGAAGATCCCTGTAACCACCAGTGTAATACAAGAAAGAACAGCAAAGGCTGCTGGACTGGGCTGTGACAAGCTGAGAGCAGATGTCCAGACTTTCTTTTCAAGTTTGTCACTCTGCTCCAGCACTATGAGTGAGGGTTGTGTGGCTGCTGCATGGCTGATCTGTGTGTGCAGAGATGATTTCATTCTTTTATCCCTTGCCAGTGGCTCATGCCATGTCTTTTAGAACTGGAGGTAAATGTCATACTCTGGTTTCTGAGATTACAACTGGCTTGTCTCAGGTGCTCTAGAAATGACCATTGGTGCCAAAGTTCACAAAGGCTCACAAAACACACCTCCAAAAGAGCAGGGGCAGCATAGGAGGGAGCAGTGAACTCCCCACTTATCCAAATAACACAGCTACATCACAATCAGCAGCTCTGCTCAGCACTAGAGGTGCTTGGAGCCTTCACCTAGGAAATCATATCCTACTCTGACTTGAGATGGAATCCACTCTCCTTTCTCTGGTGGTTCTACATCTCAAACTTCAGAAATCTCTGGTAAAGTCCCCTAGATACATTTCAGGGCTCAGTTATTAAAATGACACATAGCTGTACATGGAACAGTGTTGAACTTGGCTGTCTACCTCAGACTGGAGTAACAAGTAACTCAGATTTGACTCCACTGACCTAAGCAGTAAGGGCTCAAACTAGGAATTCTCTTTTTTTCTTTTATCTTTTCCGTTGGTTTTTGTCTCTCCCTTCCCCCAAGGAGATTTGTGGGGGATTTCTGGGGGAAGTGATTTGCTATATAATCAGGTTATTTTTCTTTTGCAAGTGTGTGATGTACAAACTGAATACCACAGCACTTAGTTGCTGACTCAAAGGACAATTATCTCCTTTTCATCTGGTTGAGAACAAACACCAGTAGGATATATCCTCTTCTTACCATATCAGGTTTTCATTTTCTGAGTCAATCTGCCTAAGATTTGTTTCCTGAGTGACTAATTTCAAGTCAGACAATCCAAGTTCCTCAAAACAAGCATTCAGGGATGCCTTTAGCTTTCCCTATACTAATGACTTTGAAAGGATATTACATCAAGCATGCATGGAAACTTCTACTACATATGAACATTGGTTTAAATATAAACATTAAAACCCTTTTTTTTATCTAAAAGAGAATTAAGGTAAAAACTGTTCATTGTTTTGACTATGTAAATGCAAGAACTTAGAAATCTGACTACAAAGCATCTGTATTTCTGTGAACTGTAATCTATTAAAAGTGCAGCTAGTTATAACCATGATAATTATATTACATGTGGGTTTATGAAATTTTCAAAACCCTTGCTTTGTTTAAATTAGGATGAAACCAAACACCTGAACTTTACAAGGAATGTTTCTAAAATGAATTTTCTGGAACAGAAAGGAAACAATGTGTTTGAATTTTAGCTTGAGATCTAAGATATCACAAAACAACAAAAATATCTAAAAATAGAGAGCAAATGTTGATTCAAAATGAAAAGTGTGGCACTCTCATCTTCAAAAACATCAGTTTTCTGCTAGCTTTTAAAAACATAAACTTCTGTACCAGCTTGTGTTCCTTGTGTTGCTTGCATGAGTTTGGATTCCTCTTGTCCCGTTTTGCTCACAGTCCTTGACTTTCAGACTTCAATCTGCTGCAATATCAGAGTAGGTACAATATCTCTTTACCTATGCTGCTAAAGCACCATTGCCTGCCTTAATCTAGTTACAGCATGTCTAAGCTTTTTTTTCTGTTGTGGGTTTGTTTTTTTTTGGTCAGAATTGTAGTAGTTCTGTGTTCATCTCTCCATGACTGGTGCATGGCTAATTCAGTTTTGGGACTTACTAATTTATATATCTATCTGTTGCAAGGGAGGAGGCAATGACCAAATAAGAGCAAAAGTTGAACTTGATTAAATGCTTTGGCTGAAATTCCTTTTTACATTGGCATCTCCTATAATTCTGGTGTCAGACAATGCTGACACCTCTTTCCTGGCCTTGTCCTTAGGGGTAAATGTGACTCCAACTGATTGGATATTGAAATAGCCTTGGACTGAAGTAAGATCCTCTTTCAGGGTTGGAAATCTTTCATGTCCAGTCTGGTATATCCATTATCCATACCTAAATGCTCTTCTCCACTCCAACTGAAACCATTCTGTGATTACACTATATAGGTGGTGGCTCCTGCTCACTGTAGTGGATACTGGGCTGTGTGGTTTCTGCTTCTAGATTGTAAGTGTCAATAAAGTCAGTGTGTTCTACAGCTATCTGGTCTCTTCTCATTCTGATCTTCTCTCTGATAAAGAAAAGAGTCCCTTTCCCTTCCCCCAATAGATCTCTTTTATGAGAAAAATGCTATTAATTTTTCTTTTGAAACTGTCCCTTATTTTTAGAAGTTCTACCTTGAGTGGCAGCAAGACTTGGAACTCTATTCATAAAGTGAGGCCAAGGGCTCCTGGCAAAATGCTTTTACCATTGCTTTTGCTCCACTGGACTGGAAATCATAGCTTGAACAGATGGAAAATATAGGATATACAAGTCAAAAAAGAAGAAACAGACATGCAAAACAACCGAAAGTAAAAAATAACTCATCACTACTGAATATTTTTTTTTGCTTCAGAACTATTATACTTAGAGGAAATACTGTCCCCGTTCTAATGGGAAATTGTCCTCAAGAGGAACCTTCTAGAAACTACTGAACACTAGGATATACAAGGAAAAGAACCTTTGGTTTTTTATCTCATGCTGCTGCTCTGTGCAATAGAAGATTTAGAGTAGTGAGTGTGAAACTGATGGACTGTTTTTAATTTTGGG